GCAAGAATTCCAAAATACCTTCCTCCTCGATATTGCTCACAATTTTTTTTAGTAATGTTCACCCAATACAAGGCCCAAGAGCCACTCAAGGCAGAGGGTTACTGCGTAGACTTATATTAGCGTAGGAAAGAACAAGTGTTAGGAGTATAGAGCAGAAGCAGACGTTAGAAGGAACCAGAAAACTAAGGATCAATCCTAAGCAAGAAACAAGGGATAAAGCTCTACTTCTGTTCAAAAACCTGGAAGGAGTGTGAACCGGACGACAAGCGAACCTATCTACTCCTAATAATTCAGGAGGACTCTATCTATTAAATGAATCCATCAGAACCTCAAGGAATGAACTTCATGAGTGAACAAGGCACCTCTGAATAATAACAACGGCACTATATAAAGCGATAAATAAACCGAATATAAAAATAAGACTTAAAAAAACGTAAGTGCTATCTCATAGGCGTGACCGTTTAATAAAAAAATCTCAGCAAATGAATACTTTCAATATATAAGGGGATGGAAAGAGAAATTACAAGACTGTGGTATTTAAAGACGACTACATTTCAAGAGTTAATAGTACTAGGAGTGGTTAAAAAGAATGCTGATAAATACTCCAGTAAACGCTTCACTATCCGCGATGATTATGAGGACCGCCACTCTTTTACTCAGAAAAAAAACTCTCCTAATTTAATATGCTCAATATCTTTGTGAAAAATCTTCTAGTTTGAGGTATCAAACAGCAAATCGGGAAAATTTAAGATTATAATAATAATAATAATAATAATAATGGAACTTTTACGGAAAGGAAAATGCAAGAAACTGGTATGAAACTCAGCCAGACCCGATTACAATCATCGGATCTGTAATAATTTTATGGGACTTTACAATAAACACAGCCAGAACAATCAAAGTTAATCTCCCAGACATCAAAGATCAAAGACCACAAGAACAGAATCTGCTTTCTTATCGACATAGAAGTCCCTGCAGACTGTAATATATCTTTGAAGATCTTCAAGAAACTATCAAAATACAAGGATCTTGAAGTGGAAAACTTAAAAATGTGGCATATGAGGACATCAATAATTCCAGTTGTAGTTGGAGCCCTCGGATTGATTTAGATAGTCTCCGATAAACTTATTGAGGGGATTCCTGGTATCCCATGCCTTAAAGAAATACAAAAAATTGTACTCACAAGTACAGCTCACACCTTACGAAGGGATTTATCTATATATGGTCTTAGGTTGTCTTTTTTGTTTTTCTTTTCTTTTTTACAAAAATACTCAGTGAAAATGTCATGATACCATTCCTGACCTTAAGTCTCTGGTTGGGATCCGGAAGGAAATGAGTATAGAACAGAAATCAAAGGAAATAATAATAATAATAATAATAAAAATATGGTTACGAGCATCTAGATTAAACGCTGAAACGGAAGGCTTTATTCTTGCTGCGCAAGACCAGAGTCTTTTCACTAGAAACTTCCAGGCAAATATCATATATAATAGTGTGGATCAAAAATTCAAGTTCTGAGACAAATATCAGGAAACCATAGATCATTTAATATCAGGATAGAGTGGGGCAATACTTACACTGGACAATGTGCAAACACTTTAGAAAAGATGGTAATAATAAACATTGGTATGAACATTACCCACACCGATTGCAAAAATATTCTATGGGGTTACACCATCTTTACAGACAGGAAGATTGAAGCAAATATGCCGGACATAATTGTCAAAAAAATCTTGCCTACTAATTGATATGGCTTGCCTAGTGGACTGTAACATAGCAACCAAGGAATTTGAAAAACTATCGAAGTATAAAACCTGGAAATCAAAATAGAAAAAAAAATGTGCAAACTGAAAACAAGAATAGTACCAGTTATAATAGGAGCACTTGAAATGATAAAAAAGGGAAAACAACAACACATTGAAAAAATACATAGAACTACAAGAAATACAAAATATTGTCTTGATAAGTACATCCCACACACTAAAAAGAACCTTGTCCATGTAACGCTAGTGATTTATGGGAGTTGGAAAAACAAATCATGAAATGTAGCCATAACAACACACCACTACCTGCTTTAGGTCTTCCATCAGATTTAGTAGGCAGTGTGACTATCGCAGAAACCGACATATAATAATGACTAGCAATAGAGCCCGGCGTTGCCCAGGGATGTAACAGTAAGAGATAGATCAAGTATCCACCATCATAAAGACTGAAAAATAAAATTGACAAAGATTATTGTTTAAGGTTGATGGACACACATGTCTTAGTTTTTTTTTTTTTTTTTGTTTTTTTTTTTTACGAATTGGTCAAACCCAAACTCAAACAAAAACATTGTTTTTAGTCGTGATGGGTCTACCGATTGAATAGAATTTTATTATAAACAATTGTCTTGTAAATGGAAGTTCTTAAAGCATTCTGAATGTAAAAATAAAGAAAAAAGTGTGCAAGACAATAAGAAACACTACCTGCCAAAAAAAAGTGAAGTTTTGTTGAAATCGGTTGAAAAATGTAGGAAATCGGATCCCATATATAAACGAACACACACATAAAGAACCAACCTGGGTTTTATAATAAGTATAACTCGATATGAGTTGTCCCCCTTTCATTAATGCCTCTTAATCGTGTTTTCAAAATTGATTTCGTGCAAAAACAATAGTGTTTTCCCAATTTTTGACACTGTCAGAACCACTGCAAGGTAATTTTACGTAGTCCTGTGAAGTTTTGTTGAAATCAGTTGAAAAATGTAGGAAATCCGATCCAATATATAAACGTACAGACACACACACAATCTGCGTTTTATAATAAGTAAGATAATAATAATAATATGACGGCGACGATTATTCCTATCACAGTCGGCTCCCTTAGGAACAGTCCCAGAGATCCTTGCAAAGAATTGGAAATTTGAGGAAGAATGAAACTCTCCAGACCACATGATTAGTAAAATCAGTTTGGATACTTAGGAAAGTGAAGAGTAATGTGGAAGTTTGCTGTCACTTGACCCCCTCCAATGAAATTTCAACTGTTACTACTACTACTAATAATAATAATAATAATCTCTATTATAAAAAAAAGTACTGATTCGCTGTCCGTCGCGCACTGTTTACGTGTGACTTTGCAAGCGTGTATGAAATGTATATATGTATGTGTCTGTGTTGTGCGTGACTGACTTGCATGTGCATACGCCATTTAATGTTCACACAAACACACAGACATACACACACAAGTTGGCAGTGATTGAAATATGACATTGGAATGATAAAGTCCCCATCCACTCAGTCTGGGCAACCTCTACTCTGGGCTGAGCAATTAAATTAAGTTGGAGACAAGTATAAACATCATTTTTTTTAATATCTAAAAAAAATTCAGATAATTACATTTTATTGAACTTTTCGGAAATAAACAAATACTTTTAAAATTTTGTGGAAATATTTTTTATGTCATTGATTTAAAAACTATGCATGCGCACATTCAAACGTACATGTGCACACAACAATTTGAACGAAATTGAAAAGGACATCTGTGTCACGAGGGCTAATTTTCATTTTCTTTTCTTTTTTTTTTTTCAGGGAAAAATATCCCGCATAAGATGAAAAGAAATACAATCCGAAATGTGCGGCAATTTTGAAGTCATTTTTATGATTTTACTTATGTATTTAAAAAGTTAAACTGAGTACATGTAGCATTTTAAATGGACAAACTATTTACATTTGAAATTTGATCATCTTTCCGGCAGCGACGCGACAGGTACCGGACTGATGGTGGTGGTGGTGGTGGTGGTGGTGATGATGATGATGACCCTCATATATGCATAAACAAAAAGTTGTCCAACAGAATCGCGAATATAAAATTTTATCGGACTTCCAAATTCAAATGGATAATAGAATCCAGACCAAGAGACAAAAAATTCATCATAAATAAAGATCTGGATGGATCTTGGATGTCGTTATTCCAGTCTAACCTTAAAAGTAAAACCAAATTAAAAGGGAGTGAAAAACTCGGAATAATATGCTGACTTTACCAGAGAACTAAATAAAAACTGAGGTATATGAAGGTAATGCCATCATTATTGGAATTCTTAGTCTCGAAAAGTTCAGACATCCGAGAAAGAACTGAAACCATTCAAACAGAAACATCAATAAAAATAAAATCATTATGCTGGAGTAATGAGACCTGTTA